ATTTTAATAAAATAAAAATAAAATAGCTTTAATATATATTAAATATCCTTCTAAGTTTTAAATAGTTTTATAAGTTAATTAATATAGATTTTTCTATTTAGTATTATAAATATATATTTTAGCTTTATTTAGTAAATTAAAATAAAAATAAAGTAATAAAATAAGTAATATCTTTAGTTTACTTTTTTAAATATTTTCTATTACTTTAATATATATATTTTAAAAAAAGTATTTTAGTTTTATTCTATTTAGAAAAATATAAAATATATTCTAAAGTAAAAAGATTATTTTAATTTTATAATTTTAAATTAACCTAAATTAATATAATTATATATTTATTTTAACTCCTCTTTAGTAATATTTTTTTTTAATTCTTAAGTATAACTATATTAATTAAATAAAAAAGTTATTTTATAAAAATAATTATATATTAATATTTTCTATATTTAGATTTTATAAAAGAGAGATATCTATCTAACTATATATTTTATTTAAGATTATATTTTTAATAAAAGTTATATCCTTATTAATATCTTAAATCTCTTTTATTATATTACTATTTTAAATAAGTTTAATAATAGTATTAGATTTAATATTTTATATATATTAAGAAAGTTTAAATTTAATTTAGAGGTTAATATTTATCTCTTTTATTTATTATTAATTATTTAAAGTTCTTTTAATAAAAAAAAGTATAATAATAATACTTTATTATCTATTATTAATATAAAATTAGTTTTATTTTATACTTTTAAAATCTAAAGTTTTAAAAATATAAAAGATATTAATTCTTATATTTTATTAGTAACTAAATAAATTTCTTTATTTTAAATTACTATTTTTATATTATCTTTTAAATAAAATATCTTCTTATTAAAAGTTATATTTTATATAATAATAACTTTTTAAAGTAAAAATATTTAAACTTTATAGAAGTTATATAAATTTACTATATAACTTATTAAGTATTTAATATACTTTTATATTATAACTTTAAAGTTATATTTATTTTTATTTATTTTATATTTTTTTTAAAGAAGTATATTTTATAGCTATATATATAAACTTCTCTTTATTAAAAATAAAAATTAACTAAAAAGTTTACTTTATAAATAGGTTTATAGTATTTAATATAATCTCTTAATTAGTTTTTTTTAATTTAAATTAATAAAAACTAATTATAATATTAATAAGAGCTTATATTATAAAAGAATATTATAACTTATACTACTTTAACTTATAAATTAAATAGAAAGCTTACTACTTAAAGTATTATAATAGTTTTTATAACTAATTCTTAACTTATTTACTTTATACTTTTATTTAGTTTATTAATATATAAAAAAACTTATTTAATTTTAATCCTTATTTCTAATATTTAGATCTAAAACTTTAATAGTTTATTAATTATAATTATAATATATTTATTATTTTATTTAATTTTATATAATATAAAACTATATTATCTCTATACTTAATACTTAAAAGTTTAAATAATAATAAAACCTAAATATTAAATCTTATCTATATATAGGAATATAAAAAATTAGCTTATATATTTATTTTTAATAACTAAAAATTATTTATTTATATTAAAACTTATTAAGTAATTAAATAAGTTTTATAATACTTTATAAAAAAGTTATATTATTTTTTATTTTAAAATATATTATAATATAATTTACTTTAAATATATTATTATATAGTATTAATATTTAAAATATAATATATTTTAGATCTTTACTTCTTAAGTATTAAGAATAAGTTTCTTAAGCACTCTTTAATTAAGATATTTAGAATAAAAATATTATATTTCTATAGTATTAATATAAATTTAAATAGATTTATAAAAATATTACTTTATATAAGTTATTATAAAAGTTAATAAATTTATAATTAAAATATTACTAAAAAGGATATATTTAAAACTAAAATATAAAAAAAAAAGTTAGTAATTTATAAAAATAATATTACTTTTTTTTAAAAGTTTCTTTATTTTTATATTATTTTTATAGTTTTTAATATAAAAAATATTATTAAATCTTAAATACTAAATATTTATCTTTTATAATAAGTATTCTAAAATAATATTAATATAGAAGTTATTTATAAGAATAATATTTTAAAATATTAAGTTTTAAAGTTTATTTAATCTATTTAGAATATTATAAAGAACCTTTATATTTCTTATTATAATAAAGTATAAAGTTATATTTATTTTAATTTACTTTTTTATTTTATAAATAATAAAACTTTCTTTAAAAAGAGAAATATTATTAACTAAATAGAAAATATTATAGTTATTTAATATTATATTACTAAAATAAACTCTTAAGTTTTAAATATAAGTTATATAGATCTTATTAAGTTTAAATTTTAATATAAAAGCTTTTATTTTGTTTATTATAATCTCTATAATAATATCCTTAATAATAATATAAATTACTATATTAAATAAAAAATTTATTTTAAAAGTAAAAATAATAATTAACTTTTTTAATTTACTAAAATTATTTTTAAATAATCTCTCTTTATTCTAATTCTTATTATTCTTAAATCTAAAAATATTAAAATTCTTTATAATAAGCTACTCTTTATAAACTATTTTAATATAAAGTTTAAAGTATTTTAATTTATTAATTCTAAAATAAATCTAAATTACTTTTTTAAAACTTATATAAATCTCTTTATTTATAAAAATAAACTTAAAGTAATTATAAATAAATAAAGTTTATTTATAGTTTTTTTTATATAAATAATATAAAACTAATTTATTTTATAAAAGTATTTTTAAAATAAAATTACTAAAAATTATATTATTAAATTATTTAGTTAATATTATAAAAACTTTATTATTATAACTTTTTAAATAAGGTTTTATTATATTTTTATAAAAAGAGTTTTTAAATATATTAATATATTAATTTATATTTTAGATCTTAATATTAAAGCGTTTTTATTTAATAATATTAATAAGTTTTAAATTAACTTAAAATAGAGTAAAATAATATTAAATTACTTAGAAAAAGGTTTTTAATATAAAAGTTCTTTATATTTTTAGTAGTTTATACTAAGAAGTTTTAAAAAATATATTTTAGAAGTTTTTAATTTAAATATTAAAGTTAATAGAGAAAGCTATTTAATTTAAAACTATAATATATTCTTTATAAATTATAATAAAGTTATTTAAATTACTTAAAATATAATATTATTTTAAAATATATATTAAGATATAAAAAGTATAGTTTCTTTTTTTAAAAAACTTTATTTAAATAATTATAAAAATCTCTTTTAAAATAATATCTTTAACTTATTTATTTAAAGTTTTATATACTTATTTTTTTCTATATATATTTCACTTTATAAACTATATATATAATAAAATATAAAATATAAAGTTTAAAAACTCTTATAAATCTCTTAATAAAAAGAGTAAATATAATTAATACTAATAATAATAAGTTATTAATAGTTTTTTTAAACTTTTTTTCTCTAAAATCTTTATTTTTAGTAATATTACTTTTTATAATAACTTCTTAAATATTTAAAGTAATAAAATTATATAAAATAATAATTGTATTATAAATTTCTTATTTTACTTTATAATATTTATATTATTTCTTATTTTTTTTCTAAATCTAATTGTTAAATAAAAATATACTTTTAACTTTATTTAAATTAGAAAAAATACTAAAAATATTATCTAAATTAATATATTTCTAAATATTTTTAGTTTTTACTTCTATTTAAAAAATAATATATTAAATTAAAAAATTATAATAAGAAATAAGTTTATAAGAAATACTTAAGTTAATAGTTATTATTATATTAGAAGTATACTATAAATTAAAAGTAATTATAAAAATAATATTTAAAAATTAAAATAAAATATAATAAATATAAAATTAAATTAAATAAAATTATAATTTATTTTATAAATAATAATTTAAAAGTATAATATAAGCTAAATTTATAACTATTATAAACTAACTATAATATATATATAGTATTTATATAAATAAAATAGCTTAATTCCTTCTAAATTAGAGTTTAATATAAAAAGTTTTTTAAAAAGTAGATCTTAACGCGTTAGAATATTATTAATCTAAATAAATAAGTTAGAAGTAGGTTACATCATACCTTCCTCTAAGTATAAGGCTACCTTAGATACTTAAGGGTATTATAATAAGTAGGATGTTTACTAGTTGCTAAGGGTAGATTAGCTATATAAGATAATGCGCCCGTCTTAATTATTTTCAGGTTGTTATTAGTGAGAAAGTGTGTGCATACGTCCTATGCCATCAAAAGAAGAGGTTGCCTAAGTAGCACATCATTCTATCTCATAAATAGTAATAGGAGGTATTATAGGGCATTAAGTTACAAAGTCACAGTCTATTGCATTAACTTATCCTAGCACAGGTTCCTTGCTATAGTCATTCTTTTAATATATTAGTGTTTCCTGCTGAACTATGTTCTCGAGGACTTCTATGATTCTAGGTTAGTAACCAAATTAGGTAAACAATCAGCGAGGAGTAAACTTTTCTTCAGAATGTCTATCCTGACTCATTCACTTGGGTCATGGAAGACGCTATTGGAATAGATCGAATTCTTACTTACAAAAGTGCGAACAACCCATACCCCAGTTAGTTTCCCGGGCCTGGACCGGTCGCGACTGAGATCAATCAAGTCAATCCATGCAAGCCGGCTTTGTAACTCTAGCAGCCGTTAAAGCACAAATACGAGACGGCTCTAGACTCATAGGGACGAGGAGGGGTTTGTCACGATGGCCTCAACCATGTTAATTAGATGTCGGGGACCGACTTCGCCTCGGAGTCGGCTACAAAACCTTATTTCCAGAGATACCTCCGGCGGTGACACGTCAGCGTGCCATCCTGTCTATCGACAACTTGACTCTACCAGGAACACCTGTGATGAGATCGTCCTTCGAGACCCCTACAAAAAGCTTGCTCTTACCTCAACAGGCAATTATCCTCACAGCAATGGCTTCAATAAACCACATTTTCCATTTTCGAGTCACTCGTCTTGCTGTGTAAGTCACACCGGAGCGAACGTTCATTGAAAATCGATATAGACGAGGATCTCATCCACTCGATGGGAGAAGATGCCGTGATTGTACACCTCGAGTACTTCACAGTTTGAATATGATAACTCGAGTATCGTCTGACTGTTCTCTCGAAAATAAGCGCCCTAGGACTTTGCGTACTGAGAACAAGCTTTTTTTTCGCAGTAGCGGCGACTTTAATCCGTCCGCTATTGACAAGCCTATCCTCACAGCCCCCTTAGGCTCTCTTAATAACCTTGGCCTGGTCCGAGTAAAGTTTGATTACGCAATCGTTCTCCCACAACTGCTAAGAGCACATGAGGCATTCACTGGAATAATTTGATATCAGGCAAAATACCTGAACTCAATAATATGCGCGCTGTCCGTGTTCAATGAGCATAGTTAATCTAAGTTGGTGTTCTTCCGGTCCTTAGGAATCTCATAGTTAGGTCTTCAGGGGAAGCCCTAGAGGGCGCCTTGACTTGATGATGGTAGGATTACCTCGATCCGGGCACTTTCTCGACGTCTCAAATTCCGGTCAATCATGATATAAATACTCAGTTCCCAATAAGCTGACAGACTGAAGAGACATTCCCAGCTCGCGAACCTCAGAGACTCAACACTTCTCTCTTCATCTAAAAGTTACACATATCTTACAAACGAGTCCTTCCGCAGCTGAATCATCTCATCTCGAAAATGGTCTCTCTTCGCGTTATTTCTCTTTTCCTTGCCAGCTATCTGGTTGCTGGTGTTTTTGCTGATGGGGGAAGTGGCGTTGCTGGTTGTAAGTTGATTCGATACATACACCCAAGAGTAACGCTAAGAAATCACCAGCTGCTTGTTCCAAACAAACTGATTGCTGCGCTTGTGACGTTAATGCTGGACAGCAGTTGACTTGCAAGGGTAAGTTCAAGCCAATCCGATTGTTTACTGAATGCCTACTTAATGGTTCATCATCTTCACAGTCGCCGCAGGGCAAACCCGAGGAACCTGTCAAACCAACGGCTTCCCGTGCGCCAACTCCTGCAACTAGATTACTTGCGCTCGGGAGTGGTGGGCTCAAGTACAATGTTTGGCCGGAACCTGGAAGACAATGTGGGCCTGTTATCGCGGTAGCTCTGTAGCTCCCTATGGTAGCACTACCATGCATCCTAGAAATCAAAACCATCAAGTCAACTTTCTTTGATGAATAAACAATAATATTCATCCAAGTTTGTGTCAGTCGTTGTGTTATTTAATGCCGTTTGTTCATTCCGACTATATTTTGGCATTAAGAAAATTCCATATCTGACCACAGTTGAACGAATTGGAAGATAGAAAGATTGTGATGACTTTCTACATGTGTTTTGGAGGTAACATGAGTCTCAAGGAAGGGAGGAGCTTCTAACCGAACGGCGTTAGTGGTCAGTGCTGGATGCGAGTACCCCTGGACACAAAAACCCCAGCGACCCCACGTCGTCGCATTGGAAGCTACTCCTTCCATCATCGCGGGCAGCGAGACCAGCACAATTGTGTCGAATTGCGGCGCTGGATGTTCATGAACGGTCTGGCTACTCACCGAACATGAAAACCAAACAGCACTCAGTCTGCGACGAGTGCAGAAGACGAAAACTTGGTGTAAGGGCCCGCAGATTATGTGAAAGACCTGACTGACTCCTAGTTTGGCAGTGCGACGGCAAGCAGCCATCCTGCTCTCAGTGTGTCTTGTCCGGCCTCGGCTGTCCAGGGTACAAGAAACACATTGTATTCCGACAACCCACGTCACCCAGTTCAGTCGCTTCAGGCCAACGAAAGAAGCGGCCACGTCAAAATAGACGCCCGAACAACACGAATCAAAAGCCGACACCTCCGACTCGGGCTTTGACTTGGCCGCTCAGCGACGTGCTTTCACTATGCATACAAAACTTCGTCCCTGCCAACGAGTTGGGATCAATGTCCAGTAACTCAGCACTTTCACAGTCTAGAATATGCGGCGCATGGGTGGAAGTTCTTCCAGGACTTGTCGGAGCAGATGGAAGACATGACGGACCTTTATCCTCCGCCATCAAAGCTCTGGGGATTTCGCTGATCGCCAGAGGCCCCAGCGGGCGAGCCCCTGTTCATGAAGCCATTGCAGCGCACTCCTCAGCACTCAAGGCTGTAGGGCGCCTCATCCCACACGCCAACGATGACCCGAACAACTACGACGAGATATCCGCGGCTATCATGTGCTTATTCCTGTCAGAGGTGTGCATTTCTGGTCGCTATTTCGCTCACTATACTGATAAGAGGCTGTTGCAGAAATTCTTTCCTACGTCAAGCTCTGCAGCAACAGTGCACGCAAGGGGCATCGGGGAGCTCATTCAACTCCGCCCCCCTCAATTCTACGCATCTGGAACACCTCATAAACTTTTTGTTGGGTTCAGACCCATTCTAGTATGGCAACACTGTGTTTATCTTCATGGTCTTATCTGTGCTAATATGTCAGATTCTCCATGCCTTTGACACCCGGAAATCGACCTTTCTCGGAGCGCCTGAATGGAAAATAGAGCCGTTTCGCGATGTGGTTCAAGATCCCCTGCAGACTCTTTTGAGTGAAGCCGGCGCCATACCTGCCATTCTTGAAATGCTTGATCACTGCAGCGACAAGAACGGGCTAGTCGCTCGTCAAGCTGCAACTCAGTTTCTGGAAGCTATCAATCGACTGGATCGCTGGCACAAGTCAGTAAATATGACTGTGGGAGACTTCACGCCTTTACCAGAAACCTCACTAGCCGGGACCAACTTCGAATTCCCGAATATCACCGTAGCGAATTCGTTAAGTCACTACTGGGCGTTCTGGATCATCTGCGCCATCCAGATAAAGCGGTTAGCAGCACAGCACCCAGATATCTCAGAGGACTGTCTCCTGATAGATGGCGAGCGCCCTGAGAACGAAGTGGTGACCCGAAAGGTTCTCCGATTCTCGAGTTCTATCCTTGCAAGTACTGGCTATTTGATGCGAGAGGATATGAAGCTCTATGGCACAGCCTCCGCCTTCTTTCCTCTGCACATTGCGAGGAGTGCGTTGGAAATGTTTGGAGGCAGTGACGGGGCTATTGGTGAGGAGTTGAGGAAGAACGCTGAGATCATACACCAAAGAGGATATGATGATGTATTATTGCATATTGGCACAACACTGCTTAGTTGATCTTCTTCTTTTAATAGATCTCATCAGACAATATTCGAGTAGATCCAGATGTGGTTGATGATACAGGGCTAAAGTAACATGGATCCAAGATGGGCACAAACAACACGCTGCTCACCCTTCCCGAAATATCTGGGAAAGTCTCATTTGATATCGGTGCTTTTTACCACGGTACCGAATGCATCCGCAATCTCGGCCAAAGAAACCTTCGTCAACTCCTCGGCGTTTGTTCCAGGGATGTTGCGGTCACCGACCGCATCTTCAACAACGATCACGTCCCATCCCTTTTCACTAGCCTGTCGGGCGGTCGTTGAGATACAAACGTGTGCCTGCAGAAGAAGGAAAAGTTAGTCTAGTGCACTCTCAACAAGGTCCCTTCGTTGGAATCATCTCACCATATATCCAGTCAAAACCGCCTTGTTCCTTCCAGTAGCCTTTAGCAAGTCTTCCAAGTTTGTACCTGTGAAGGAGCCAGGGAAGTGCTTAGTGACCACGCTTTCTCCCTCGACCGGCTTCAGCTCTGAAAACTCCTCAGCGAGGTCGGTGCCAGGAGTGAAGAGTGGCGCGCCAGCTGGCACCTCGTGGACGACATGGATAACTGGAGCCTTTGCAGCGCGATATTTCTCAAGCAGGAAGGCAATCTTTGCCCGAGATGCTTCGACACCCGAGACTGCGAGCTTTCCGTTTGCGTACTCGTTTTGAGCGTCGATGATAACCAGGGTGCTATCACTCGTGGAGGCCGTGGATGCTGGCAAGCCAAGCATGGAACGCATGGATACTGCAGACGTCATGGTGAATATCTTAAACCGAAACTCGAGAAGGGCTGTTTTGCACAAGTGATGATGTGAGCAGAGAATACGGGAAACTGTCTGACAGCCCGGACTACCGTGGGCTCTTAGTTCATATTCATACAGAAACGTGCCGGGATCTCGGTCTATGATGGTGGGCATGGGTTCCCCCTTAGTGGACCGCGCTAGGCCAGGTAAGGTAACATATTCCGCCAAGACCAGACTCCCCCACATCATTGAGAACGGTCGGGGACCTGGAATCGATAGGAGATGGCCAATCGGAAGCCACCAAAGTCTGTGATGAATGCTGACTGGAGATGTCTTGGCGAATAATGAAGCCTATTTTGGTCAAGCGCAGAGTCTCACTTGCCCAGAAACACCTATTCACCGCCGCTCGTCCTGCACCACGACGACAGTAAAGCTCATGACTCAATAACACCCATCAGCAGATTCGCAAAGAATCCATTATTATTGTTTTTAAGCTTGATAATCTCTGGCCTTTGACAACTGACAAATCTTCTTGCCGATTAGTGATGGCTCGTAAGCATGACTCCCGGTTGATGATACAAGCAAGTCATGGGGCCGCAAGCGGATCGACGTGTCCCGAGTTGACACAGGATACTGATTCAATCAGCTAACAGCAGGAGATTTCGAAGTCAAAACCAACATGATTCTCTAATCTTGAAGGTTCTCGGTGACTCTGCATGCAATCACCCGCGTCATCTTACTCCTTTACCATTACACGTGCCACCTACCTACCTCGAAAATGCTAGGCCTCAGCGGTTGGAAACCTCTCTTTTTCTATACTGCTGCGTTTCTCAACGTAGCAATCCTTCCCAAGCACCTCAAGACCGGTGGGACCAAGATCAAGGGCGCTATCAAAGCCATACCATCCGATCCAGAGTATTCTATCCCCAAGGCGATCGTCAAGACAGCTTGGGATGGCTGTAACTCCTGGCTTCTCACTTTCGGTAAGACCCACAAAACCCTTGTTGTGTTAGCGAAGTTAACCATCTGTCAGGCCTGCTCAACCTTAAGTGGGCCAAATATGGTGCCCCCGAACTGATGGAAGAAAGGCTGGCAGTTTGGGTAAATCTGATTATTTCCCTGTACATAGGCATCCCTTACTTCCAGGTCGGCATGAAGCTGCCTCTTTTTACGTTGTGGGGTGGTCCGATTCTCACTGTGATAGCGATGCTTTTGGCATAGAGGCAAAAGCTCGCCTGTCGGTCATAACCAATGACGAAAGTGCAAATCACACTTTGTAAAAGGCAAATTACTCAGAGAGTACCAGAATTATGGCGATGAAGCATAGAAACAGGCGGTCCTTTGAGTGTGAATTACTGTGTATCCATGTATAGCAAGCATTGCACTCCTAAAGGTCTATAGAGATACTGTCTGACATGACCATATTTTAAGAATGGTTCACTCGTACGTGAATTCTCAACGCTGTAGTGATAGTCGAGCTCATAATATCAACGCAATCTATTACAAAACCAGACCCAGGACTTGAGGACCGACAGTTAGTTTTAGAGGTCAGGCGGGGAAGCTGTCACCACTGACCTCATTTACACGGAAAGGTACATGAAGTGACTTTAACGTTCCTGTTATTAAACCCACTTTTCAGCCCACGTAAAATTGGTGTCGCGGGGCTACCAACCATCGGATGCTTTTGGGTTGGTAATCGGCGGCTTACATGGATTTGTCAAAACAACCGTTGCTGAATCATGGTTGCAAGTTGTAAGTCATGGGGTCGTCAGACGTCAGAAAGCTTTCTTTGAAATCTCCGAGAGGCATCGGAGCTTACACAGTCCATACTCTTAATATATATAGGGGATTTCGAAACAAGTGATCCAACTGACCCGAACAATAACGACACCATCCAGCAGTATTTGCCTTCAGTTGCATTACCCACCTAGAATCCGTTAAGCCGATCCATCGACCTACATTTCATCAAACCTCCAGCAATGTCTTCTGGAACCGACTTCAAGCCGAAAGTGAGCATCACTCACATCGGAACTGCCACTGCTATCCTTGAGATCGATGGCGTGCGCTTTTTGACCGACCCCTTCTTTTCTCCAGCAGGCACCACATGGGACGTGGGCATCACTATCCTCAAGAACACCGAAGACCCTGCTCTCAGGCTTGATCAGCTTCCTCCTATCGATGCAGTGCTCCTGAGCCACGAAGACCACCCCGACAATCTAGACGAGCTGGGCCGTAGGCTACTTGACGGCCGACACGTCTTCACTACCATGGACGGAGCCAAGAATCTCGCACCTCGCCCGGCGGTAGTTGGCATGAAGCCATGGGACACTGTTGAGAGACGCATCGACGGGAAGGTCTTCCGCATCACGGCCACCCCGTGCCAGCACCTGCCCGGCGGTGAATGCATTGGCTTCTTGGTATCCTCTGATGACTTCGGGATTGGACCGAACAGCCTGCCGAACGCAATCTACTTCACCGGCGACACGGTCTTCATCGACGAATTGACCAAAATTGCCGACAGGTTCCACGTTCCCATCGCCATGATGAATCTTGGGTTCGCCCATGTGCAGCTTCCTGACATGGACACGCCGCTGCAAATCACCATGGACGGCAAGCAGGCGGCTCGTTTATTCCGAGAGATCAAGGCGGATCACTTGGTGCCCATGCATTACGACAAGTCGTGGGGTCATTTCACTCAGTTCGAGGAAGGATTGGCCAAGGATTTCCAGGATGAGGGTGTTGACGACAAGGTCAAGTGGCTGAAACCAGGGATTCCGGTTGAGATTATCTGACTAGCGATGTTGAAAACCTTGATGTACTAAAACGAGTAGCTGGGAGGTTTTGACGTTGTCATCGAAAATATTGAACCGAAGTTATCATTGAATTTTCCATCATCATTCAGGCTCATAAGACACCGAAAACCTCACGGACTCTCATTGCCCTTAGGATTCACAAGACTTAAAAACACAAAGCATCGAAAACACAAAAGTCCACTCATCACTGGGGTCAGTCTTACCATAACCATGTTGATCTAACTTACGACACAAAGCTTTTAGGGCAAAGCGAACTTGTCAATAGACCGTTTTTTCGCCTCAAGACAGGTGGTTCATACGAGTTTCTTGTTTGGTATTGGCGGCGGAGTCCGTTGTCAAATTTCCCTCCTAATTCTCCCATAGGTATATCCTCCTTCCGCATTTTGAATAGACTATTGAACAGGGTTAATCATCCCACGATTCTTGAATATGCATTAGCGCTAGGTCATTATTAGTAATGTAGGTAGGCTCCTTTGTACGGAAAAGTGATACATCGTGCAATCAAGTGAGCACCAAATGAAAAGATGAGCTCCTTGAAGTACCCAGGTCAACGCATCAATGGAACGGGTTCCCCGTGTGAGGATGGAAAATCAAGGGTTGCATTCGCTCAGATTGAGGTTGCATACGTCCATTATCAAGGTCCGACGTCTAAACTAAAAACATAGAAGCGAAGGATAAAAGACATTTGAGTGCGTTTAAAGAGTCTACTGCAATGCTGCACATCCCGATGTGCAGCCATCACACAATTACAGACCCCCAAACAACACTAGATATTTACAAATCGATCTAGCCTGCGTTCTAGAATCATGTGTATCAAAAGCCGCACCATGCCAGGGGAGTCCCATCCCATCTCCCACCTCCCCTCTTCACCCTCATCCCTGCCAGGCTGCCACTTAAAACCCAAGCAACCTTGCAAAAGATCCATCCGTGCCGCACTTGCCTAATCGCAAACGGGACATCCGATCAAAAAGCTAATGAGTCTGTTGTCAGCCGCAGTGAGCTAACCGCAAGAGAGGTGTCAATTTCAAAACCCGTAGAGACGTTGTCACAATAATGAAATTATCAACTACAAGAATTGAAACTTTGGAGACTAGGAGGCTCAAATCAGGCAACGCCGCAATCCTACGACGCAGCTAATAGCTGACCACATGATGAAGAGCCACAGCGAACCTCATTGTGTACCTGATTCCTTGTCGAGTGTGTTTGCTCGGTCATCTCCAGCGAAGATGACTAAAGCGAGATATCAGGTCGGCAGACTATAAATTTTGGAGCATTTCTCATCGTTTGCAGTGAGGGTGTCCAGCATCGCTTACACCGGACAAAGTCTGTCAGTGGCTGGTGTCTCTATCTTACTGGATTTCTACTTTGCCAATCACCCTCTCTTCTGTCACCAGTCGAATTTCATCTCACCATGACTAGCCTCAAACAAATCCTCATCACCATTGCCGCCGCCGCGGTCAGCGTTCACGCCAGTCCGCTGTCCGCCGATTCCACCGCAACGGCCATCATCGGCGCCCCGGAGTCTGCTGTGACCGAGGTTTCGAAGCCGCTTAAAGGAAAGGAGCTTGAAGACTTCGTCCCATGCACCCCCGAGGGAGCCATCGACGTCACCAATACGACACTGGGCTTCGAGTTGGTTAAGTTCATCGACGCTCATCCCGATGCCAACGGCTTGACCAAAAGGAGCGGCCCCTGCGACCAGGGTGATTGCCCCAATTTCAACGCTGCCTTCGACTTCTTCTCGCAGCGTTACGTGAATGCCGTGAACGGCGGCGTCGTAGTAACCTGGGGCTACTATGGCCGCTGGAACGACTGTGGCCAGTGCGGAAGGATCCAGATCAGCGGCGATGGATGCTTCGACTTCACTTCGTGCGGCCGCAAGCAGAGCATCTGCGTCGACACCGGCCACGCCAGAGCCCACCGTATCTGGCATGATGTCGGCCACAAAACATGCTACAACGCTGCTCGGGCAGATCTCGGTAACTGCGGCGTCGTTCTCACGAACTCCATAATCTGGTACCCGACCGGGGAGACTGCGTGCAATTGGTAGTTAAGAAAAACCAATACTGTTACGACGATGGACTATTCTTACTACAGAAAGGCCATCATTTCCTGATTGCCTGGAGGATTGCCTGGAGGAGGATGCAGGGAAGGGAGCGACAGCAACGGTGGGGGCTTTTCGTAGCTAGTATCTGAATGGCTGTGTGGCTCAAATAGCAGGGCTATGTGCTCTAAGAACCCTTGTGCGTTGAAGAGAAGTTGCTACTGGTAATCCAAATCGCTGTTCATAGGAAACAACCAACAAGAACTCGAAACACCAATATAAGCTAGCTTCAGGAGTCTCAAGCATAATCGAGTACTGTCTGCCATCCTATTTACCTTATGTGACCGTCTAATTTTCTTATGTATGATTGCTGTGGACTGGATTACTCCTAGAAGACGATAGTAGCGAACCGGACGACGAGGACAACGGTAGAGACGGTAATAAAGACGACAATAGAATCGGTAACCACGATAGTGACAGTATGGTAGAGTAAAGCTACAGGAAAAGCAATTGCTATAGTACAGAAAGAATTCGACGTTCTCTTGATTATTATTTATCATGATAGTCTCACTCTACTTATTGATGTTTCTGGTGTTTCTTGTTTGAATGAAGTCTTGAACGAACTTTCATGGCGGGTGTGGATCGTGGTAAAAACCGTGATCCTGCTTCTAGACCAGGCTTCGGCCCATGTCCCGGCCCCAAAGCCGGCCACTTATGTAAGATGTCATCATAATTCCCCTATTTCTCTCAATCGCGCCTCGGCTTCACGCCCATCTCGATCGGTCCCGCATCCACCAAGGATCTCGGCAGGTCTATCGTCAAACTTCGGATCTTTGTCCGTGCGCTCTTTTACACGTGATGGTTCCTGGCCTGATCATGTCCTTCGCCGCCTCACCCATTGGCGCGGCTCGATTTTGGCGACCCATCGAGTGGTTAGTTTTGCTGAGCTGGACTGGGCCTGCGGGAACGGAAAATGCGCCAGTCGCTGGCGTGCATTGCGACCTTAGCACGGCTACGTCGGCACCGGACTCTTCCTCGTGACCGTGTGGCTGTTAAGCGCTCCATTGGCCAATTTGAGCGAATGCGACCGTCGGAAAATCCGCCAGAACCAAGCTTCCGGCCAGTTCTGAAGACATCAGCGCATATGACTGAAATATCTCATCTGATTGTAGAGGTCGTTGGTTTTGAGGAGAGATCGTCGTTAACTTGAAAGATCTTCGTTTATGTGAAGCATTGACAGTTGTTCTAGACATGATTTGAGGTGCCATCTGCGTGTTTATCCCATGTGTCGCCGAGACGGCAGCTAGCACATCCCCGCAAGTTCTCTATTGTTTTCTCCAAAACAAGCATTTGTCGCATTCCGCCATTGGGCACAAATTTCTTGGCCATGATTTGGCTTTCTCCACACACTGGGGTCGGTCCGGGGTCTGGGGTCTGGGGTACTTCGGCATTCAAAAAACAACAAGTTCAAGATCAACAGTTGGGACGAGATCTACCCGCCTTTAACTGCCTTTCACTAGATCATTTTTCTATGCGATCAAATTGTCTTGCTCGTGAGATATAATCGCGCAGTCTTCTGGAGGAACGCCATCCTTCTATTGGACCGCTTCATCTCTAAAGACAAGGACTGCCGGCGCCGGTTCTGTTGCGATGGATTTCAACGCCAACCCCGCACCCTAAGCCAATTCGGCTATCCGCTTCATCAATAATGGTACATTGTCAAGGCGAGTCCAAGCGGACGCGTATCACCAGTGGGGAAGGTTGCATTAGTCAATCAATCCGATCTGCAATTATTGGAGGAATTCACCGTCACTGGAGGACCGCGTGCCACCCCTTGCTCTCCATTCAGGAACGAGATGTCTTCATAGAAATCATGAATAAACGGGAAGACTTGATGAACATTGTCGACACTTAAAAGGCCAAGCATTGCCCAGCTTCTCGGCATCGAGTTTTAAAAGCTCACCAGGCGATCCAGCTCCACCGTTCTGCTTCTCATTCCCCTGCCAAGACTGATCCAAGATGCACGTCTTCTCTCGACCAAGCCTCCTGGCCCTGGGCCTCGCTGCCACCGGCTCCCTGGTCTCTGCCGGACCTTGCGATATCTACTCTTCCGGCGGCACGCCCTGCATTGCGGCTCACAGCACTACCAGAGCTCTTTACAGCGCGTACTCAGGCTCGCTGTACCAGGTCAAGCGTGGCTCCGATGGCGTTACCCTCAACATTGCGCCCCTGTCTGCTGGCGGTGTTGCCAATGCTGCCGCTCAAGACACGTTCTGCTCCGGCACTACTTGCCTGATCACCATCATCTACGATCAGTCTGGAAAGGGCAATCATCTCACCCAGGCGCCGGGAGGTGCCTTCAAGGGCCCCGAGGCGGACGGCTCCGACAACTTGGCCAGTGCCATTGGTGCACCCGTCACTTTGAACGGCCAGAAGGCGTACGGCGTCTTCATCTCTCCCGGCACGGGATACCGCAACAACAAGGCCAGCGGGACCGCTACCGGCGACGCGGCCGAGGGCATGTACGCCGTCCTTGACGGAACTCATTACAACGGCGGCTGCTGCTTTGACTACGGCAACGCTGAGACCAGCAGCACCGACACTGGCAACGGCCACATGGAGGCCATCTACTTCGGTGACAGCACTGTCTGGGGCACCGGTTCCGGCAGCGGTCCGTGGATCATGGCTGATCTTGAGAACGGCCTGTTCTCCGGTGTCAGCTCGGGCAACAATGCCAATGACCCGAGCATCACCACCCGCTTCACTACCGCAGTCATCAAGGGAGGACCCAATCTGTGGGCTATTCGCGGTGCGAACGCCGCTTCCGGCTCGCTGTCGACCTACTACAGCGGCGTCCGCCCGACGGCGTCAGGATACAACCCCATGAAGAAGGAGGGTGCTATCATCCTCGGCATTGGCGGTGACAACAGCATCA